TGTGTGTGTTTTTGATGTTACAAATGTTCTGGCAGAAGTACAGCTTCATTTTGAATCTGAATCAGACAAAACAACACCGAATGAGTGAAGCCAGCAAGAGAACAACAGAGAGACAGAGGGAGAGATGTTTGGCAAAAGCAATGAAAAAGCCAAAGTGCTAGAAAAGAGAGAGAGAAAGAAGAGCACGCTTCCTGCTCCACGGTGATAAATATACAGCATTACGAGACTGCCAAATAATCTGGAATATTCCTCAGTTCCTGTCACTACATGACAATGACAAATTAAGAATTCTACTAGGTGAAGGATCAGTAGCCCATTAAATATACAGTATATATACAGTGCTCAACATAAATGAGTAACATTCTGAAAATAAATATTTGTATCCATTTCTCAGTGAATAGGTCTTATATTTTGGTGCATTTGAGCAAAACAGATTTTTTAACTGATTTATTTATTAACAGATATGTTTATTAAAATAATGTTTTAGTCACTGAACATCTTTAGAAATAGAAAGATAATACATTGAAATATTGCGAAAAACTAATTAAAAACTACAAAATTTCAACTTTTTTTGTTTGTTTTGTATTTTAATGTTTTTACATTTTATTGAATATTATCATATAAATTTGGGTTTACTAATTTATTACTAAGTTATTTAGTTAGATTAGCTCCTGATTTGCTTTAGTGCTGACTAATCTAAGTAAAGTTCATTTATAAACTAATTTCGAGTGGATCACATGCTTATAATTGCAGTAACACTACAATAAGGTTCATTAGTTAATGCATTCACTAACATGAACTAATCATGAACAACACATGTACAGCATTTATTATCATTATTGAACATTTACTAATGCATTATTAACATCCAAGTCCATGCTTGTTAACATAATTGCACCAATGAGTAACATGAACTAACAATAGACAACTGTATTTTCATTAACTAACGTTAACTAACATGAACAAATACAGTAGTAAATGTATTGTTCATTGTTTGTTCATGTTAGTAAATGCATTAATCAACATTAACTTATGAACCTTATTGTAAAGTGTGACCATAATTGCTTTTGGCTGATCTCGCATTATTTAATTTACAATGCACCAATCAGATGATTCCTAAGCCACTACAAATACCCTAGGTTACGTATCACAGCCATCTTCGTTTTGAAGAATCCCCCCCTTCCACTCCTACTCCTCCTCCTTCCTATATGGGTGGCACGGTGGCCCAGTGCTTTGCACTGTTGTCTCACAGCAAGAACATGTCTGGTTCTAGTTTTTACCAAGCCAGCCGACATTTCTGTACTGAGTTTACACATTCTCCCCGTGCTCACTTGGGTTTTCCCCGGGTCCCCTGGTTTCCTCCCACCGTCCAAAAAAATGCAACTTAGGTTTATTGACTAATCCAAATCAACACCATAGACATGCTCCTACCAAGAACTTATCTCTTTAAAAGAGCAATTACTATCTGCTCTTCAGCCACTATGACGGGAGTTCTCGAGATCTACCTGAGCTCAAACTCCCTCTCGCCTTGCAACATGAGGGAGCCCTGGGCTCGAGGATCTTATGAGCTCAGGGCTCTCTCCCAGGACAGCATGCTAAACTAGCTTTATAATCAATCATCAGCTAAGTGTGAACTCTTGAATGTATAGTATATGCACACATAAAAAGCTTCCTATAGAAAATATTTATTTAAATGAGAGATTTGTAAAGGGTGTACTCATATGTTGAGCACTGTATAAATGCCACAAGCTAGAAGGTAAAGAGTGAGTACATTTGTATTGTTTTTATAAATATATGCATTTTATTCTTTTACATGTATACTGTATATGCTTCATTCTATTTTAATATACAGTACATCATTATTGTAATTATACAATAATATAATGATCATATTAATAATTATATTTAGACTGGCAATATTTACACATTTAAGTCATGCCAGTCAAGTGAATTGAATTGAATTAAAATTAAGATAGTGGGAGAGTGTAATATGTTAGATAAAATTGTATAAAAAATACAATCAGAATATATTATTAGAGTATGTTGAATTAAATATTTATAAAATATTATTTACATATTTATTAGAATATGTTAACACTTGTCACAAAGAAAGGAGACCAATAAAAACACCAGTGATGAGATTGCAAACACACGCGCACACATACCTGTATATCTAGATAATTATAAATGAATATATATATATATATATATATATATATATATATATATATATATATATATATATATATATATATATATATATATGCACATGCTTTTTAATTTAAACTATAAATGCTTTGGCAGGACATTTGTAACTTTCATCATGCCATTGAAGCAATTGTTGAACTGAAATAAATTTAATTTTTAATTGAATTGAATTAAGAGAGAGGAATAGAGACTAGGTGTTTATAACTGAATAATTGTAAATAGGCTGATCAGTATTATTTATTACTGTTTTAACCTAAAATGTTAGTTTTATTATTATTATTATTATTATTATTATACTATTACTATTTGCCATGATTACTATGTTTTTATATATGTGCTTTTTTATGTAAACTTTATAAATGCTTTGGCAAGACATTTGTAACATTTGTCATGCCAATAAAGCAATTATTGCGTTGAAATAAATTGAATTGAGAGAGAGAGAGAGAGAGAGAGAGAGAGAGAGAGAGAGAGAGAGAGAGAGAGAGATGGTTGTAAATAAATCATTGTGAATATACTGCTTATACTCGTTTATTATTACAGTTTTATCCTGACATATTGTATGTTAATTGTTAAATCTATAGATTATTCTGATTTATTTATTTATTACTAATACTATTTACTGTATTTACTATGCATTTATAAATAAAGTGTTCAGATGCAAAAAACCTCTAAAAGCCGTTTGAAACTTCCTTCAAAAATGAGCATTTTTATCAGGCTCCTCTGTGTAGGTTCAGTCATTTCAAGTTTATGGCTAAGAATACACTCTTTTAAAGGACTTTAAAATGAAATATCCTAACATAAACATTGGAGTCTGAGAAAAATGCTCATGGATGGAAAGTTCAGAAGGCATCTGAACTCTTCATATACATGTTCTTTTCAATGTAAACTTTATAAATGCAAGACAAGGCGAGTTTTATTTATATAGCACCTTTCATACACAACGGTAATTCAAAGTGCTTTACATAAACAAGAATGAAAGAAACAAGTAGAAGAAATAAAAACAGATTAAAATGTGTTAACTGTAACTATAAATGTATAAAAAAGAAAAGAAAGAGACAAAAAATGCTTTGGCAATACATTTGTTAGATTTACATTTTTTAATTCAAGAGAGAAAGGGAGAGAGAGAGAGAGAGAGAGAGAGAGAGAGAGAGAGAGATGCTGCTGGATGCAGTGATGTGTTACAGGAACATGATTAGAAGCAGAGCAGCCCACCTGCCCTCGCCACTGTTGTCATGGAGACGCTGGTTTTCGGATGCTGGCACGGATCTCCATGTATTCTCTTTATGTTGTTGCTTTGCCATGCAGCATTTGGGACTGGTGTTCAGTCAAGGACAGTTGGGTCACTGGCGCTGCGCCGCTCCGGATAGAAACACTCAGACTGAAGAACATGTTTAGCCATTGCACCCAAGAGCTCTCTCTTTTTCACACAGACGCTCTCTTTAGTTAAGACCGAGAGGGTACAAGTTAAACTGCACTGGCTTGTAGGAGAAATAAGCTGCTCTTTGGAATGATTTGAAGTTCAGTTCATGCTGGATGAAATAATATCTGTGTAGGAAAGCTTTGATATGAATACACTTAAAGATCAGCTTTTTTTTTGGCTTGCTTTTTTAAAAATGTAATGATATTTTATTTGATATTTATTTTATTTTATATTTATAACTACTCATGAGATGGCACTCTGGAGTAGGTCACAAAACAGGATGAAGTTGAGTTATAAAACATCTATTAATATACAAATGAACTATGAGTACATGCCTGAATAATCATACACTATAAATGTTTATTTAAATAGTTTGTTAATCATTTACTAACTCATTCTGTATGATCTTTAAAAAACCAGCAACTTCCCTCAAATAACTGGTCTGTAAATAATGCAATTCTTAATTTAGTAATGAGAAAATAATCATTAACAAAGTATGCAAACACAATCATTAAGCACGTTATAAAAGTCAAGAACAGAGCATTTGTAGCTGTAGATAATTCAATTCAATTCAGCTTTATTTGTATAGCGCTTTTACAATGTAGATTGTGTCAAAGCAGCTTCACATAAATGGTCATAGTAACTGGAACAGTGTGGTTCAGGTTTTAGTGTTTAAGTTCAGTTCAGTTCAGTTTAGCTCAGTTCAGTGTGATTTAATCATTACTGAGGGTTCAAACACTGAAGAGCAAATTCATCGATGCGTAGCTCAACCAATCCTGAACCATGCGAGGCAGTGGCGACAGCGGAGAGGGAAAAAAAACTTCACCTGATGAGAGTGAAGAAAAAAAACCTTGAGAGAACCAGACTCAGTTGGGCACGACCATTTTAATTTCTCCGCTGGCCAAAAGTCTTGTGCAGAACTTCATTCGCCGTGGTTTAGGCTGGAAGATGGCCTCAGTGAAGATATAAACTAATGTCTATTAATGTAAAGTTAATGCTTAACAAATAATGAATTCACTATATGCTAATGCTTAATACATGATCCATAGTTTGTTATGAAGTGTTACTGTACCAATGTGGTGCATTTTACAATTGTTAGTTCATGTTAACTAAAAGCTTATATTGAAAAATGAACCCCTATTAATGCATTTGTTTTTCAAGTAACAAAGAAGATTTTAGTTTTATCAACATTACATTTAATTTGAATCAGTTTTGTGATGTATTTTTATTATTATGGTTTGTTTGTGTTTGTGTAGTTCAGTCTGTGTTGCTGAGCTGAGCAAAATCACAGCTCAGAAGCTGAGGATTCTCTGTGGTCATTCATTTTTTATCTCTCGTCTTTGTTTTTTCTGTTGTTTTTATGTGCTGTCAGCTGGACCGGGTCATCTTCTGTGTGTTTCTGAAGTCCGATAAACAGCTCTACGAAAATCTTTTACCTGCATACTTCCCTCGAGGTCTGTCATTCTCTTACTCACACTTGTACAGCTATCTTTATACGCACTTCTCATAGATGTAATGATTTTTATACTGTACAAACTGTATATTCTACCTCTAAACCTCACAGGAAACAACCTGCGCTTTTACATTTTCAAAACACTTCATTCTCTGTGAGTCCTTTTCCTCATGGGGACCAAAAAGTGCCCCTACAAGGTCTCAAATGGACTGATATTGCTATATTTTTGGTAAAATTTGGTCTCCAGAATGTGAGGGATACAAGATGCACAAACATAAACACACATGCACTCTTGTACAGCTATCTTTATGGGCACTTGCCATAGGCGTAATTTGTTTTATACTGTACAAACTGTATATTCTACACCTAAACCCAACCCTCACAGAAAGCAATCTGCAGTTTTAATTTTCAAAATACTTTATGCTGTGTGATTTTATGAGACTTTTTTCATGGGTGATTAAAAAAATGTTCCCACAATATCTAAAATTGATTGGTTTTGCTACATAAATGGCAGAATTTGGTCCCCACAATGTGAGGAATACAAGGTACACACTTTTGTACAGCTATCTTTATACACACTTCCCATAGACGTCATGATTTTTGTAAAGTACAGAATATTCTACCCCTCAACCCATTACTTATAGGAAACAATCTACAGTTTTACATTTTCAAAAATACCTCATTCTGTGTGATTTATGAGCCTTTTTCCTCATGGGGACCAAAAATAATAATTCCTTACATTTATATAGCGCTTTTCTGGGCACTCAAAGTGCTTTACACAATAGGGGGTAATCTCCTCATCCACCACCAGTGTGCAGCATCCACCTGGATGATGCGACGGCAGCCATTTTGCGCCAGATCGCACACCACACACCAGCTGATTGGTGGAGAGGAGACAGAGTGATGAAGCCAATTGGAATGTGGGGATGGTTAGGAGGCCATGATGGACAGAAGCCTAGTGGGCAGATTTGGCCAGGATGCCAGGGTTAAACCCCTACTCTTTTTCGAAGGACATCCTGGGATTTTTAACGACCACAGAGAGTCGGGACCTCGGTTTAACGTCTCATCCGAAAGACGGCGCTCACTGAGCAGTATAGCGTCCCCGTCACTATACTGGGGCATTAGGAGGACCCACCTAGACCACAGGTTGGGCGCCTCCTGCTGGCCTCACTAACACCACTTCCAGCAGCAACCTAGCTTTCTCATGTGGTCTCCCATCCAGGTACTGACCAGGCGCAGCCCTGCTTAGCTTCAGTGGGCGACCATGTGAGAGTTGCAGAGAGCTAGCTGCTGGCAAAAAGTGTCCCCCCACAAGGTCTAAAATCCACTGATATTGCTATATTTTTGGTGAAATTTGGTCTCCACAGTGTGAGGTATACAAGGCACACAAACATAAACACACATGCACTCTTGTACAGCTAACTTTATGGGTTCTTCTCATAAGCGTAATAATGTTAATACTGTGTTTCCTAATGGGGACCAAAAAATATCCTCACAAGGTCTAAAATTTACTGGTATTGCTACATTTGTGGGCAAATTTGGTTCCCACAGTGTGAGGAATATAAGGTACACATACTTTTGTACAGCTGTCTTTATGAGCAATTCCCGTAAACGTAATGATTATTATTCAGTAAAGACTGCATATTCTGCCCCCTACCCCTAAACCCAACCCTCACAAGAAACAATCTGCAGCTATACAATGTACTAGCATTGCTATACTTGAAATTTGGTCAGCACAATGTGAGGAATACAAGGTGTACTGTATGTACACACATATATGCTTAAAGAGCTTTTAAATTGACATTATTTTTACTGTGAAATGTTGTTGTTTTTTTTAACAGTGTACTTAAAAAGTTAGCAGAAATTGTAGTGGTTTTCTTGGTTTTTCTCTTACTAAATCAAACTCAGTCTGGAGGTTATGAATATCAGAAGAATATACTTTATTGCCGACAACAATGGAGAACTTTCAGGAGACCCCCAGTAGCATCTCTGTCTGAAAAATTCTGACTCACTAATGAGCTGGCTTTACTTAAATACCCTTTTACATCCGTTGTTTTCCTTTGTTCTCCATATATTACACAAGATCCCTCCTAGTTTAACCCTTGACTCCAAATTCCACCTCTGTCATCTGTTTTTCCCTTATTTCTACATATGTCACACAAATTCCACCTAGGTTAACCCCTGACCTCAATTTCCACCTAGGTTAACCCCTGACCCAAATCTAGTAACTATTTAACTTATCCAGTTCTTGTGATATGGTAATTCTTCTATTGGTATGCAAGTCTACAAGCAGATTATATACATACAATTTGAATATATATATTAACTTCACACTTTAAAGAATACAAAATCCACTTCAAAATTTATAATGATTTAAATTATTAATTACTCTGTCAGTTGACAGCTTTCTTTGTTTTTTTCAGTTATTTTTGCTTTTGAATTGCATTATGGGGCTTATTTTAATAACTGGAAGTGATCTATTGTCTGTGTTTGTGTTGTATATTATGGTATGGTAATTAGCTGTCATTACATTTTCTGTTTTTTCCTCGATTTACACTCACTGGCCACTTTATTAGGTACACCTATCCAACTGCTTGTTAACGCAAATTTCTAATCAGCCAATTACATGGCAGCGACTCAATGTGTTTAGACATGTAGACATGTTCAAGACGATCTGCTGCAGTTCAAACCGAGCATCACAATGGGGAAGAAAGGGGATTTAAGTGATTTTGGCATGGTTGTTGGTGCCAGGCGGGCTGGTCTGAGTATTTCAGAAACTGCTGAATACTGGGATTTTCACACACAACCATCTGTAGGGTTTACAGAGAATGGTCTAATGGAGAAAGTATGCAGTGAGTGTTAGTTCCGTGGGTGAAAATGCCTTGTTGATGCCAGAGGTCAGAGGAGAATGGCCAGACTGGTTCCTGCTGATAAAAAGGCAACAGTTACTCAAGTTACTCTGGGCTACAGCAGCAGAAGACCACACCAGGTGCCGCTCCTGTCAGCTGAGAACAGGAAACTGAGGCTACAATTGGCACAGGCTCACCAAAATTGGACAATAGAAGATTTGGAAAACAATGTCTGGTCTGATGAGTCTCGATTTCTGCTGCAACATTCGGATGGTGGGGTCAGAATTTGGCATCAACAACATGAAAGCATGGATCCATCCTGCCTTATATCAACGGTTCAGGCATGTGTGATGGTGTAATGGTGATGTCTTGGCACACTTTGGGCCGATTAGTACCAATTGAGCATCATGTCAATGACACAGCTTACCTGAGTATTGTTGCCGACTATGATGGACATTTACTTTATGAACTTTATTCACTTTATGACCACAGTGTACCCATCTACTGATGGCCACTTCCAGCAGGGTAACACGCCCTATCATAAAGCGTGAATCATCTCAGACTGGTTTCTTGAACATGACTATGAGTTCACGGTACTCAAATGTCCTCCACAGTCACCAGGTCTCAATTCAATTGAGCACCTTTGGGATGTGGTGGAACGGGAGATTCGCATCATGGATGTGCAGCCGACAAATCTGCAGCAACTGCTTGATGCTGTCATGTCAATATGGACCAAAATCTTTGAAGAGTATTTCCAGGGTCTTGTTCAGTTCATGTCACAGAGGATTAAGGCAATTCTGAAGGCAAAAAGGGGGTCCAACCCGGTACTAGTCAGGTGTACCTAATAAAGTGGCCAGTGAGTGTTGTTCTCTATATATTATTTCATATGCATTGTCTCAAACTACTAAAATGTCAATAAAAGTCACTCTGTTAAACCGCAGAGTTGAATATTCATCATTAAAGGTCGACAGACCAGAGATTTTACCATACTGCAAACTACCATAATGCAATTCACAACCGTGAATAAACAGACTTAACAATTCGAATACAGAACCGGCGAGGCAGTGGCGCAGTAGGTAGTGCTGTCGCCTCTCAGCAAGAAGGTTGCTGGGTCGCTGGTTCGAATCTCGGCTCAGTTGGTGTTTTTGTGTGGAGTTTGCATGTTCTCCCTGCGTTCGCGGTGGTTTCCTTCGGATGCTCCGGTTTCCCCCACAGTCCAAAGACATGTGGTACAGGTGAATTGGGTAGGCTAAATTGTCCGTAGTGTATGAGTGTGTGTGTGGATGATTCCCAGAGATGGGTTGCGGCTGGAAGGGCATCCGCTGCGTAAAAACTTGCTGGATAAGTTGGCGGTTCATTCCGCTGTGGCGACCCTGGATTAATAAAGGGACTAAAGGCTGATTTATACTTCTGCGTCAAACGCCGGCGTATGCTATGGCGCTGACGCATAGCCCTTCGTCGTGGCCGTCACTGACGTGCACCTCTCAAAAAATGTAACTACACGTCGCAACGACGCATAGCGTAAGCTCTGTGATTGGTCGGCTTGGTAGTGCTGACGAGTCTGGGCGGGACCAAGAGCCACGCGAATGGCGCGAGCGATTGTTTACAAGTGTGGAGTCCCCTGAAGATGCCCCGGATGGAAAGTTTTGTTTTGTGTTTACCTCATAGTTAAAGTTGTTGCACGTCCGCCGGTTCCTGCCTCAAAATGAGTTTGTACATCCCAGAAGTGTTCAGGAAAAATAAAAAAAGCAGTGAAGAAAATCGACACAGAGGAACATTTACACCTCACTGCCAACTAGCGTTTCGGAAGTGTTAATTCAGACCGACAGAGACAGCGCGCACAAGTATAAATGCACAGCCGCGCGCGTTGCATGCGCCGTGGGTTACGCCGGTCACCTGACGCAGAAGTATAAATCAGGCTTAAGCCGACAAGAAAATAAATGAATGAATGAATGAATGAATACAGAACCTGTTAATTAACAGATATTTTTTGATAGTGTAGCCTTTATTATGCATGCTCCATAAACAAGAAGTCCATCCAGTGTTTTAGAATAATCGATGTGTGTTTGAGCAATCTAAAGTTACTGAATGTAAAGCGTTTTGTATGCCCCCCTCAGCGAGAGCACAGGTAATTGGCAGTGCCGTGACGTTTCTGAAACACCTCGGATAAGCTCCTGCAATTTAAAGTTATTCATATGAGATGCTTTATGTGTGCGGCAAAACTAACACCGACTAAATTAGCATTTTTAATGCATGCAGTGTTTATGTTTTGAAATTAATTAAAAAGCAGCACACCGACTCATTTTAGCGTTTCACATATAAATTTGATTTGCTTATTAAACATGTTAGCGGATACTGTGATCTGCAGTATTCACAGTTATGACACGATGGTATTGAGATCTCACTGAACTCCAGACATTAGTATTCATGCAAATGTCTGTTACTGTATGTATATGTGTGTGTGTGTGCGCTCTATTAGACCTGTTTTTCACCTCCAGGTTCACCGCCAAAGAGCAAATTATGAGAGGATGTCAGAGTTGCTGTGGAAACGCCACCCAGCCATTGCTTTTCCGCCACATCACAGCCTCGCTATAACCTGACGCAGACGCCGCAAACAACAACAACAGCAACAGCTTCCTGACACACACCATCTGATTTATTCACATCAAGCAAACCAGCTCTGCACTGAAGACACGCTATCTGCTAACCAGTGGGGAATCAAATTGTCATCGATTTTGTGCTGATGTTGATAACAGTGTAGGCTTACAAATGCTGCTTCACACAATATTTCAAGTCAGACGGTAAAAAATATTTGTTAGTTTTCATTTCTGTGTGATTCACGGGTGTTTTCTGTTTATGTATGGGTGTTAATTGCATTATGGTAGTAATGGGACATAGATTACTGCTCTGTTGACTTTTAGTGTTGAAAGCTCAATTGTGTAGTTTAGCAAAGTGATTTTTATTCATATTTTAGTAGTTTGAAGCAGTATAAAGTGTAAAACAATTACATATATATAGAATTATTTCTGTAACACTACCGAAAAAGTACAGATGATTACTTTTAAAAACGCCAATCCAGACTATTACTTCAAACTAATAAAAATGTCAACGTTAAATGGAGGAAATATCAAGCTTCCATAATGTAATAAATACAATTTATAAATAAAAAAGGCAAAATATGAATCACAAAATATGGACAACTGTTAATATGTGGATGTTTAATAGTGTCTGCTGTATGCCTTTCAGTTGAATTCAATTTAGGTCAGTTTACTGTCATTGTACGTCATACAACGAAGTTCTGTCCGGTGAATGATGTACGATGACAAAGTAAATTGAATTGAACTGAAATGCATACACAAGACCGCCTAAACTAAGTCTTCTGTATTTTGCATTAGATTTTCCTTGAACTTGTCACTGTTTGAACACCTTGAAAAATGCATCTTTCATGAATAAGTGAACTGTAATTTTACACTTTCAGAAATAAAGGTACAGTAGCTGTCACAGGGGTGTTACACAGTTTTGCCTTAAGGTGTACACTCAAAAAAAAAAAATGGTGTTTGCTGCTTGATCAAACTACTTAATTAAAGTGAGTACACTTAAAAACAAAGAAAAGTTGAGTCTACTTAACATTTTAAGGCAACAAACTTCAGGACAGTTTTGAGTTGACTCAACTTTAAGCCAATTACTGCACTTGACTCGATTTTAATCAACTCAAAAATGTCCTGAAGTTTGTTGCCTTAATTTTAAGTTTAGTAAACTTTTTTTACAGTGTAGAAAAAAACCCAATTAGGTAAGACTTTATAATAACCACACACTATGAATCATTTATTAAGCATTAGCAAATAGTGAGTTCATTATCTGTTAATCTTCATTAATAGACTCTACGTTAATTAGTTAGTAGGCAATTAGTAGGCAGTTACAAATGTTGTATTCTTGACTTATGAACGCATTTATACTTTCATAATTTGTAAATGAATATTTTAATTACTAAATTAAGTATTGCATCATTTACAAACTAGTTATTTTAGAATAGTTGTTGCTATTTTAAGGTCTTTTAGAATGAGTAAGTAAATTAATAATAACTATTCAAATCAACATTTATATATCTTATTATTCAGGCATAAAATAATAGTTAATTTGTATGTTAATAAATGCTTTAACAAGTCAACTTCATTCAGTTTTGTGACCTAATATAAAGTGAGGACCGTTTATGCCTTGTAAATTCCTAGTAAATAACAATTAAAGGACCAGTAAAATTCTACAAAAGAAAATAAATGACTTTATTCATTTCTAATCATTTAAATATACAAATGAAAAATAAATCTTTGCAATCTTGACAAAAAATAATGTGCAGTTTAGACATTATTTACACATAAATAACCTTGAAATGTTGTATCGGAATATAATGTTAAATAATTCAATTGTTGTAATTTTATGTTGTATTTTGACACTCCTGTTATTCAGCAATGATTAAACTTTACAGTAACTTTATTTTTTAGATTAGGTTGCAAAGATGTATTGTTCATTTAATTGTCATTTATAAGAGTTTTACAAAGCATAAATAGTCCTCACTTTAGATTAAGTCACAAAACTGCATGAAGTTGACTTAATAAAGCATTTAATAACATACAAATAAACTAATAATAGTTTATAAATCATTTACTAACTTCTAATCTTAAAAACCACCAACTACTCCTAAATACAAATGATTTGTAAATAATGCAATAATCAATTTATTAATAAACAATAAAACAAGTAAAGTATGAAAAAACAATTATTAAGCACATTTTAAAGGTGCTTATAAGTCAAGAATGCAGCATGTGTATCTGTAAATATAGACTGCTTACTATTGTCTATCAATGTAGAGTTAATCCTTAACAAATAATGAAATCACTATTTGCTAATTCTATATAGATGACTTATAGTGTGTAGTTATTGGTAGTTATTTGTGTGTAGAATCCCAGTTGTAGAACCCCCCTCCCTCCCTCTCAGTCAAATAAAGGCAACAAAATCTTTAAAAGAAACGACATAATTCTTGAGTTTTTGGGGGGACAACCAAACTGTTTTATGTTCAATCCATTTAAATTTGTGAAAACGAATACGTAACTTAATTCCTTCATGTTGTCCTAACACAAATCGATTGTGTGGAACCCAGCATTTTTTTACTCTCAAAAAACTACATTTGCTGCTTGTTCAAACTACATATTTAAAATGAGTTAAAACAGCAATTCCTAAGATTTTTTTTGGGACAACTTGATTATTTCATTTTCTATCCACTTAAATACGTAAAAAAATTTAAGTTAACTTAATCGATTTGTGTTGGGACAACATGAAGGGATCGTGAGTTTTTTTTTTTTTTTTTTTTACACAGTCAAATATATACTTTTATACTTTTTATGTACTAATGTGTACCATTGTTGAGCCAATATGATTGCTTTTGATAAGATACAGCCACAGCCACAGCTCATACACTGAAAAAAAGATGTCTGTAAAATTGTTGCAATTTATATGTGTTGAATTTAAACAATTTTAGTAATGTTCACTAAACAATGTTACTTAACAAATTTAGTAATGTTCAACTTAATTTGTTGGTTTAAATTCTGCCATATATAAATAGTTTACAGCCACTTTATTTTTGAGAGTGTGTGCTAAAAACAAAGCTAAAAAAATCCCAAATTTGCGTTTTGAATTGTGCGTCTCCTTCCAAAAGCAGTGCTATAATGTGCCCTAAAATTACAAAAGATTTCCTGAGTAAATATTGTTTATAGAGTTGAATAAAAATTGAATTAAGGCAATCAGTGATACCAAAGGAGCATGTCAACGGTTGTAACACTTAACCTATAATGAAAGTGCACCATTTGTACTTCTTCAATGTACTTTCTGTCTTCCAGTATGATAAAAGACCCTCATTAAAGTCAACTCTCTCTCTGAACTAATGGCCGGAGCCGCACTTAACGCAACTTTCATTAATTACACCGTAAGCTCTCGACTTAATAATGCCAAATGGAGAACAGACCAAATATATATATTGTTTAAAACATTTGGTGCAAGACTGATTGTCAACTGAAGGCGAAGAGCTCCAAATTGTTGTGCTGCAATTTATTTTTATTTTCCCCCCTCACTCGATTCTTGCATCTTTTCCAAAAAAAGATGAGTCTTCTTTCATCTCGACATGCTGAAAGAGTGAGGGAGGCAGATGGAAATGAGAGAGAGAGAGAGCAAGAGATGAGTTTAATAAACTCATCTGAAGCAATTTTCATTTTTTAATAAGCGACAGGCAGCTCAGATACTGTCATCAGCCGAGCTTCTCCAAATAATGAGAGCAGAGGAGAAAAAGAGAGAGAGAGGAAGAGCTCAGCAGAGTAATTATCCTAAATCCAGACTTCATCACCGTCCCATCAGCACTTCTCTCTTCCTTTTCTCCCTCTTGCAATCCGGCTCCGTGTCCCTCTTAGTAAAGTGTTATTTAATTTGCTGTATTGGCACAGTGAAAGCAGCCATTGCGGTTCTACGCTGCTGAAATAGTAACCCTTCAGTGACGATTACACTGAAGTGCATCCTATACGCCAGCAGCAGCGAGATGAGAGCTGCTCTTCTCTTCTTTTTTTTCTTTTCCCTTTTTTTTTGCAGCTTATCTCCCTCTCCCATGCCCTCGCGCGCTCGTTTCAATGATCCTATCGCCCATGTGTGTGTCTCTTTTCCTCCAGCTGCGTTCCCTGCGCATCGTCAGGCTCATAACCGCAGATTCTGCCAGTCAAACGGGGCCCGCTATCACTCGCGGCCCTGCCATTTCATCCCGGTGCTCCGTCGCAGTTTGTAGTCACTTCAGTCTGGTTTAATCTTGCGGGTGCAACCGGAGGTGTCATGGAGGGCTTTCGCAGACAAGTGGATTTTCAATGCAACTCAAAAAAAGAAAGTTTTTGTTGGAGCCTTTAACAATCTTTTGACTCTATACATTATCAGTAGACCTATAATTTAAACTGCTAGATTAAATTAATGATGGGCTTTCTCAGACAAATGGATTTTGAATGCGACTTTAATAAAAAAAGTAAATAAAATGTTTACAAAATTTTAATGATCCCTTAAACATAAATTGACTATTATTTATTAGTAAAGCATTCATTTAGACTGTTAGATTGGATGAATAGTTATTTTTCAGCCCATTGATTTTGACTTCCCTCAAAAAAAATTTTGGTTGTGATGTTTAACCGCTTCGAATGTTATTACTCAGTTGACAGGGCATTATCAGTGGTTATCAGCTGATAGATATGGGCCAGTAGGGGCCTTCTGCGGTTACTGGTAGGCTCAGAAGGCTGTTATCATCCATTCCCACGGTTAATACTAATAGAGAACTCCAGATGTAGATCTATTTTTACATTACTGTGATGTTTGGGTTTGGCGTTGGGGTAGGGGTAGACCTTAATAAAATACAATTAATGGGAAATTTAATAAATAATATAAATAACTCTCTAACTTTCAGCTGTGTGTGATCTATAGCTGATTATCCACGTGGATGGATGATAACAGCCTTCTGAGCCTACCAGTATGCACAGAAGGTCCCTACTGGACCATATTAATCCAACCCAGGCTCATTCTGAAAACGTAATCCAACGGACGTTTTTGGAGACTGCGAAATACGTTCCGGGAGGTACATATTTGTGCAGTTTTTGTTTTCGCGAATCCGCGAAAGGCCGCTGTGTGCGCTTTTCTGTATCTCAAACGTCTCTCGCGAGTGCCGTTCGCGCCCGCGCTGTTCTCGTGTCAACCCACCAGAGGCCGCTGTCTGACCTACCGAATGATTGACTGCGCGACCGGCCAATCGGCTGACCCACCCTCCTCCTTCCCTGAACCCAACCAGTTTTACCGATTGACCCGCCCGCCCGCCTGCTCACTTCCCTAAACCCGAGCAACAATTTAGAAAAGCCGTCTATAAAAAGAAAAGCCCTCGTCTGTTTTTTTTTTTTTTTTTTAAACAAGGTTTTTAGATTTCTTCGCGTTCTCACCCTGTTATGAACTCGTTCGCTTTATTTTTTTGGATTCTGTTTTTGTTTTACCTGGTTTCTGGAACCACTCTTCACCGGATTCGAAACTGGACGCCTTTGTCAACTCCTCCTCTCTGCATCTGAAGTCCGCCGATGCACACGATGAGCTGACCGGACAAACTGACTGCAGCGGGAAAGCCCTCCACACGGAGGTAAGCAGTCAGCGGGCAAGCGCGAAAGGGAACGGCGTCACACCGCCCCGTAGCGTTCGCTTAAAAAAATGAAATGCAGCCATACGTACCTCCCGGGACGTATTTGGCGGTCTTCAGAAACGTCCGCTGGACTACGTTTTCAGAATGAGGCTGGGTTGTATTTATCGGCTGATAACCATTTCATCCTGCTGCTCTGTCGCAGCCAGACGTCTCATGGAGGGGTTTTGCAGACAAGTGCATTTTCAACGCAATTAAAAAAAAAAAAAAAAGTTTGTTTTGTTGGAGCCTTTAACAATCTTTTGACTCT